TGCTTGAAAGCGGGTGGACTACAACTCCCAGAATTCCTCAGCAAGACGGCTCTAAGGTGTGTGAACTTCAAACTCCCAGAATTCCCCAGCCAGCAGACCGGCTGACTTTTCCGCCCTCTCCTGCCTCAACCTGGGTTTCATCCCCCATAAAGAACCATGCCAGCATCAGGACCAACTGTATAAATAGCCTTAAATAAATAAAACAGCTTTTTTTATTGATTTTTCAGAAAACAAACCATTAATAAACCATAATTAATAATATTAACATAATGCTTATTAACCCCAATGGGTACCCAGGCCCTGCCTCCTGGCCCCGGGGGACTCGCCTCGAGGCGCAGGTAGACTCGGGCTGCTGCCCGTTAAATTATAACTTAATTAAATTAACTTCAGGGTCAGCGATCCCTTTGGTCGCAGGAGAAACTGGGGTGGGGTGGGGTTGCGTTGAAGGGGCTCCCCTCTGGTTCTACAGAGGGTTTAAATAGATGCACCCCTCCAGGGGGGAATTTTTGGGGAGATCTTGGGTAGGGAGCCCTCATGAGAAGATCAAGTCAAGCTGAAGAGTGGTTAGCAAAAGAGAAGAAACGTGGAAAGGTGTTATGAGGAGCGTAGGAAGAAGTTTAGGGGGACACTTAGGTAGGACTATCTCCTGGAGAAGGAGGTGAGAAGTAGGTAGACAACCCTAGGACAGGGTTAGCTGCCAAAGCTGAGGTGTGGACTTCAACTCCCAGAATTCCCGCTCCACCTCCTAATGTGAGCCAAGGACACTGGCCTGCAAAGCTAATTACTCCATTCTAGGTCACCTTCTCCAGATGTTTCATTGCTTTGCTCCTCCACAATTCAGAGGTCCTTCAAGGCCCAACCCTTCGCATGGATCTCACCCATAGCTTCTGGAGCCACGTTCCTCAACCTTGACCAAGTCTTGGAAAAAAGGATGGACTTCAAACTCCCAAAAGTTTCCCTGAAGGAACATCAACAAGGTAAACCCAGGATGGAGCTCCTGGATTCACTCCCAAGTCAACCAGGCCCAGCTGGTTATGAGACCCAGAAGAGGACACTGGTTGGCCGGGGGAATTCTGGGAGGCGAAGTCTTGGAAGTCGGATGACTTGGGGTTCAAGGGTTGAGAAACCAGATCTGAAAGCATGGTAGGGTTGAAGGACTTTCCTTGGCGTGATTGAAACCCTTGCTTCTCGATGGGTTGGGTTGGGTTGTCCTACTCTGCAATTTCTCTGATGCCAAGGAGAAGTTAGATGGACCTTGAAGAGATGGGTTCCCGCCAACCAAAGAGAGAAGAACATTCTTGGAAGCAGGAGAAGAAGTTAGATGCAAGGTGGACCTTGAAGAGATGGGTTCCCACCAACCAAAGAGAGAAGAACATTCTTGGAAGCAGGAGAAGACATTAGCAGAGGAGGAGGAGGAGGAAGCTCTCCAAGAATGAGGTAGACACAGTAGATGGACACGTCTTTCCTGGCCGTCCCAAGAAACAGGTGGGCCTACAATACAGATAATCCTCGACTTACGACCGTTCGTTTTAACGACGGTTCCAAGTTCTAACATCACTGAAGAAGAAGACAGGTGAGTTATAATCTGTCCTCTCACACTTAATGAGTGTCGCAGCACCCCCCACGATCAAAATTTGGGCGCTTTGGACAACCGGTATGTGTTTACGACGGTTTGTGGCATCCTGGGGGAAATCACGTGGACGCCATTTATCGACCATCAAAACCAAGCAAATTCCATGCGGGGAGCTGGATTCGTTTTAATGGCCGCCCGATTCGCTTAAGGACTGCAGGGATCTGCTTTAAAGCCATACGTACGCACCCTGGCCGTAAAATTGGACGTAAAATCCGTCGAACTGTTGCTTAGGCGCGCAGATTGTGGTCGTAAGTCAAGGGCTACCGAGCGAAATGATGGCACCTGCTTGATGACCAAAAGGGTGCGTGGCCTCTTCCTCCTCCCTCCCTTCCCCGGCTCCTCTTTGCTTCCCCCAAAGGACAAAATAAATAGATGAAATAATAAATATACTACAGATAACGGCCAGATATGAACCATCCAAAAGTCCAGGTGTCGTACAGAATTGAGCCACCAACGGAGCTCGGCTCCCGCTTTGCCAATTCTCTTCGGCTTCTCCATGTTTTTGTCCCAACGAGGCCTTTATTTTCCTCCTTTTGGGCTTTTGTAGTTTTTTTCTCGTCCGTCTTTTCCGCCCCGTTCCTTCCACATTCTTTCTCTCCCCTTAAATCTTCCCAGGGGGAATTCATTCGACCTAACAAACCAGTGCTAAATTTATCCCCGCTGTGGCCATTGCTGCCCGCTTGGTTGCCTTTCCTCCCCTCTTCCCTGGTCCCAGATCTGGCTCCTGCTTCACTTAACGTCCAAGTCCGTTGTCCATGGCGAGCCGAGAAACAAAAAAAGACCCCCCCTCCCAATACCAAGCCTTTTGCCAAATTTCGGGCCCGGTTGCCTCACATCCTCGTGTCCAGAGGCCCTATTTGCGTCCTCGCCGGCTCTGTAGCACCTCCAAAATCCTGGCTTTCTGTTTCAGCCACTGGTTGGAGAGGCGTTTCGTGGGCTTGGGGACGAAGAAGGTGTATTTAAGACGAGGGGTCTTCTGATCGGACACCACCAAAGCTTGCACGGTGAGCGGCTCTTTCAGTGGTCCCGGGCCGGTGATCATCTCCATGGGTTTGGTGGCCCCCGTGTAGCGCAAAGTGACACCGCCCCGAAGGTGAACATCCTGTTCGGAGGGGATCAGGATGTAGTTGCCGTTCAGGGCGTAGGAGCCGTCCTGCCGGCGGAGGGCCAGGTAGATGCCGTCGCTGGACGTGGCCGAGCTGCTGATCTGCCGGATCAGAATGCTGGTGGCTCCGGCAGGGATGGTGACCACGTCGTTGTAGCCGTACCTGCAGGGTGGAGAAAGAGGCAGGGAGGTGAAAGGCTGATCTGGAAAAGGATGGGTGTTTATTGCTTTAGAAGTTGCTCAAGATGGTGGACATCCTTACATATCCCTTCCTCCTCCTATTCCCCCCTGAACAACAACCCTGCGAGGTGGGTCGAGCTGCAGAAGAGGAACTGGTTCAAAGGCTTTCATGCCGAACACGGGACTAGAACTCACCCACTCCTGGGGATCGGCCCCAAATCACCCCATTGGCTTTCCCTGCCTAAGGCGGGACTAGAACTCACTCTCTCCTGGTGATTGGTCCACCAGAGTCACCCAGCTGCCTTTTGTGCCTAAGGCAGGACTAGAACTCACAGTCTCCTGGTGATTGGCCCAAAGTCACCCAATTGACTTTCCTGCCTATGGCAGGACTAGAACTCACCAACACTGGGGATTGGCTCAAAGTCAGCCAGCCAGCTTTCTAAGGTGGGACTAAAACTCCCAGTCTCCTAGTGATTGGCCCAAAGTCACCCAGCCAGCTTTCATGCCTAAGGCAGGACTAGAACTCCCAGCCTCCTAGTTTCTAAGCCAACAACTTCCCCCTGTCTTTAAATAAGCCCTCCTGGTTCTAACCTAAACTTAGCTTGATGGGCGGTGCAGAAATTTGAAATAAATCGATAAATAAAAGCATCAAGTTTCCTTTTTTTTAAAATCTGTTTATTTTCCCCTATTTGTACCCTGCCTCAATTCTAGAGGACTTTTAGCTGGGTATCACAGAACAAGAGTCAACAATAATTACAAAATTAAAAGCGGGTTGAAAAAAGAGTCCAGATTTCACCGCCGTAGACTCTTTTTAGGGTATCGAACTCACGTCTTCCTCTTAAATCTCAGGAGGACCATCAACCCTTCCAACGTGCCCAGATATTCCGGTGTCGCTAACACTTCGAAGCAAGTTTATAACAGTGCAAACTCCTTGTACACGTGGCATCGAGTTTTATAAAAATCAGTATACAGAAGGAGTGGTTAGCTTGGCAGCGGGGCAGACTAGCTCTCTGACAAAAAAAAACCTCACAAGGATAGGAGAAGGTGACTCATAATTTACAATTTGTAAGAGAATTGGGGTGGTTTTTTTGGCGCGGGGGGGTGGGGGGGGTGGTATGTGGAAACCAAAGAGAAATGAGGCTTTGAAATCACAGGACATCTGAGCGTGTTACCGCTGGAAAAGCCAGATGTTTCAGCCTGGGCCTAACAATTCGCTTTTAAACTTGATTAATCCTCTCGGGGAAGCACGCTTGGATGATTAAGCTTGGGCCGAAAGAGTGGGAAACGTGGACTGCGTTTGGATTTGAGGATTTGGGAGGCTGCCACGAAGAAGAAGAAGAAGAAAAGAAGAAAAGAAGAAGGAAGAAGGAAGAAGGAGAAGAAGAAGAAGAAGAAGAAGAAGAAGAAGAAGAAGAAGAAGAAGAAGAAGAAGAAGAAGAAGAAGATCATCAAATTATTCTCCAAAGCACTGAATTGCAGGATAAGAAACAATGGATGGAGACTAATCAAGCAGAGGAGCAACCTGGAATGAAGGAGGAATTTCCTAAGGGTGAGAACGATTAACCCGTGGAACAACTTGCCCCCCAGAAGTTGTGGGTGCTTCATCACTGGAGGTTTTAAAGAAGAAACTGGAGAGGTGCTTGTCTGAGATAGTATGGGTTCTCCTGCTTAAGCAGGGGGCTGGACTAGATGACCTCCAAGGTTCCTTCCAGCTCTATTCTGATTCTGAACTGGTGTTTCAGCACGCTATGTTGCTAAAAAAAAAATGGTAAGAGTGGAATGATGCAAACCTCCAGGGAAGGGAAGGGAAAAAGAATATCAGAATAATAAGAGTTGGAAGGGACTTCAGAGGTCTTCTAGTCCAACCCCTTGCTCAAACCAGAAATCCTACATCATTTCAGACAAATGGCTGTCCAATCTTTTCTGAAAAACTTGGGAGGGAGGGAGGGAAAGAAGGAAGGAAGAAAGGAAGGAAGGAAAAAATAGCAGAATAACATCGTTGGAAGGGACCTTAGAGGGCTTCTAGTCCAACCCCCTGCTTAAGCAGTAAACCCTACACCATTTCAGACCAACGGTTCTCTGATCTCTTTTTAAACCCTCTTTTCAACATCTTAAGCCCAAAGGCCACTTACTGAGGCTTGGTGAAAGAGCGATAGATTTTTGTGCATCTCGAATTGTCTCCACCGCACACCATGCATTTGTCAAACTTCTTCTTGGACCCGATGACGCGGTCGCAGCCAGCGTGGACACAGCGTCCCTGGACACAGACCGAGGTAGAGTCCGGCGTGCAGGGCGTCCCATCAGCCACCTAGAACCAAGGAAGAATCCCGTTTTAGTCCCGTTCCCGCGATCTGCGACTTTCCAGGTGATTGTGGCCACGGAATGTGAAATTGGCGACCACCGGAGCGCACCTGGAGGAACATACCCCACCAAATGGTGGATTGAAGTTCCCGGTTTGCTAGCTTCGAACTTACCCTTGGCTCCAGCACGTAATAGTAGCCCAAGGCATGGGATTGGCAAGTCAGCTTGCATTGGTCACGCTTGGCCACGCCGCTGTAACGTGGCACCCAGTCCATGGGCGATGGATAACCTTTGAACATGTCAATTCGGTGGTTGTATACGGCACACTGTTGCTCACGGAAGGTCAGAGCTGGAGGAAAATTTAAAAAAAATTAGAACCCTCGAATCAATTTTGGGAAGGGAAAAACGAGTAAAAAAGTCCCTGCTCGTACGCCGAGGACTACCATTTTTCAGGATTTCAGCAGTTGCCCTAATTAAATCATGATCCTCGAGCCAAGCTTCAAAAACTTCAAAGCATTTCGCAAACCTGTCGGCATGATTTGTATGAAGCTGGTTCTGAGGCACGTAATTCACTATCACCTGTGACCCTATTTAAGCTTCAAAGGATTTATTAGGAGCGAACATGTCGGCTTGGCCTGTATGACGCAGATTCTGAGGCACGTAATTCACTATCACCTATGACCCTATGATCACCTATTTAAGCTTCAAAAACTTCGAAGGATTTATTAGGAGCGAACATGTCGGCATGGCCTGTATGAAGCTGATTCTGAGGCACGTAATTCACTGTTACCCTTGACCCTGGTTTCCACCCAACCCCTTTGGGTGCATCCTAATTCATATTCTCCAACGAAACACATTCATAGCCAAGAGTCATCAATCATGTTCTCCAATTAGAGATTTGCGGGGCAGAAATTCCGGTAGCTTTGTTACAATCTTGGCAAAATAAGCCTGAAATGCACTTTCATTTCCAAACTGCTGCCCTGGTCTTTCAAATTTCTTTCCTTCCCCCCCTCCCCCGCCCCACTTCTATTCGTGACAACTCTAAAACAGGCATAGAAATTTCACCACCTTCCTTGCCACAATTGTTAAGGGGGGTCACCGCCATTGTGGAGTTAGCGACATGGTTGTTAAGTGTTACGTGACAACTGCAACTGTCGTAAATAAGAGCCAAGCATCTGAATTTTGATCACGCCACCACGGGGATGCTGCAATGGTCGTAAGTGTGAAAAATGGTCCTAAGTCAAAGTTGTAACTTCAAACGCTCACTAAACAAACTTCCCCTCCAGGTTTCTAGATTACTAACCACTGTAGTATACATTTTTTTTCTCACTCTGGCAAGCCAAGCATGATTCGTTCTGGAATCTCGCTCTGAAATTCCTCCCAGCTTGGAGCAAACATCTGTTGCCAGAGCATATTTTGGCTCTGGTCTCACATTCATGGCGGGTCATAAATCGGGAAAGCGAGACCCTCCCTTCCACTGACCCTTTGTGCTTCAAAATTGTTTTCCCTGGCTCACATCCTCCCATTGTTCACATTTTTTTGAACGAGGCGCTGTTGCGCCCATCAAAAAAAAAAAAAAAAACCGCGAAAGTGGATCAAAGATCCTTGAGAGATCTGGGTGGTTTTTTTTGGGTGAAATAAAGCACCTTGCCTGCAAATAAAACTGGGAAAACAGCAAGATGATAGATAGATAGATAGATAGATAGATAGATAGATAGATAGATAGATAGATAGATAGATAGATAGATAGATAGATAGATAGGAGAGAGAGGAGAGAGAGATGATAGATATAAATAGAG